TTATTGACGATATCATCTTGAATTGTAGATGATTCTAAAAAGTGATTCAAAAGTTTTGATTGCTTTCACTAAATTGATGTTATCCATGGCAAGGTTATATACAGTTAATTAATTGAAATATATCATTATATAGAGAAAGATTCGAGATATCATCTGAAGGGAAAAGATACTTTGAAATGCAGAAATGTAACTTGCAACGGGTTTTTACAGAGAGTATCTTCTTAGTTCAATGATATTCATCAAATTCAAAGGCGGTGGATATAATTTTAAAAACTATTCATATTGCTGACGTTTTTCACATTGAGAGTCTTATTTTATGAAATTTACGGTTTAGAATGTGTCCTCTAATATATCAGCAACTTAGCCATGCAGAATCTATCTGTCTGCGCGAACGGCCGTTGAGGAAAATTTTTTAATTTTACCGGCAGATTGTGCACACCTGCTGAGACAAGCTTTCCTTGGTTCTAGTTCATGGTCCACCAACAATAAGTCGTGACTATTTAAATGAGGTTCTTATTCAGAGCAAAGCGTGTCCGAAAAAGTTCAAAACAAAGAGTTTTGACTTAAAGTTTGTCTTGAGACACGTTTCATAGTCATGAGGTAATCTTGAAACTTTCAACCGGAATGAACATAACTTTCTCGAGATATTCAATATCCAAAAATAAAGAAAGCAGAAGTTTACAATAGGAAGACAAAGTAATCGAGTTTACTTGGAAATCGAATATCTTGAAGAAGACATGATCGCTTTCGTTGAAAGTTTCAGAACTGTCCAATGACTATGAAAAGTGCCTATATGAAACATTTTAGATTAAAACTTCATTGAAGATTTTTCTCGAAAAATATAGAACGAAAATATTTGCTTCAAATGAGTAAAATAATCATAACATTGTATTACATTTATACATTTTGATGTATCCTATTTTTAGATGATAGTTTTAATCGTCCTCTACAAAATTACATATTTCGATAAATCAATTATGTATAGGTTTGTCAGAGATATCATCAATTTACTGATAAAATCTCAAACTTTTGAATCACCTATGATTCTTATTTGATCTTTTTTCGATGTTTGAGATAATGTTCTAATTTGTGATAAACGTTTTTCACTAGATGATTGTTCAATTATTTGTTGTATTTCTTTCGAAGTTTTCATTGATTGATCATCAATAAAAATTTTGTCTGTTTCACTAGATTCATATCCGATTTACTAAATTCTTTTTCTATTATATCAGAATATTTATTTATTTGTTGTGTAACATTTTCTCGTTGATCTTGTTTGTTATAATCTTCAATATTTTGTTCTTCAGCAAAATCTAATTCTATAAATAATCATTTTTGATTATCAGACAAATAAGGTAGAAGAAGTTGAGGTCCAAGTATTGAAGCATATGGATAGAATTGTTCAATAACATGTGTTTGATCTTTTTTTATTTCTTGTTGTTTATAAAAATCATCTAGATTAATTAATAATTGAAAAGAATCTTCATCAGTAGATGTTTTCAATTTTGAAGAATCAATTTGAGTTTTTCACTAAAATATTTATATAAAAAATAATTCTAAAAAGAAATAAAAGAAAATGCTTCATTTATTTTTTACAGATAATCTTGTTTATACTGTTCACTGATGTTTGATTGTAATTCTTTAGTTTCGAATAATTCATTATATGCATCTAAATCTAAATCTTCATCTATCGGTGAATGAAATTTATGTTGATTTTGATCTTCTTATTCTTGTTCTTCATCAACTATTTCTGAAACTCTTCGATCTGTTTCATTTGTTTGGGATAATAAATATCTTTTATACCATATATCACTTAAAAGTTTTAAATCACGTAAAAATTTCATATCATAATTATTAAAATCGACTAGAAATAGAAGTTTTTTGTTTTTTTTTACTAAATAAATTAATTCTATTTATTATATTTACATTCTAATTTTAATGGTTTGAGTGCATTGAATGTATTTATTGGATGTAAATGTATATAGTTTTTAATTATTGTCATCATATCAATGATTCGTTTGAGACGATCAAGTTTAAGAACATGGTTAAGTAATTGAGAAAGATCAGTTGCTGTTATACATAATTTTTTTTCTAAATTATTTTGTACATGATGTTTTTTTACCAAGACATTTTCTTGTGATTTAGAAATTTCCATAAATTTGTTTATCTAAATAAGAAGTGATTATAAGGCTTCATTGAATTATTTCTTGGTTTATGAATTCCAATCATAAACACTAGACAATTTACAGAGATTGGATGTATATACTTTCTTCTAATAAGTCTGATACTTTTTCATTATTCTGTAAATATGCAACCGTAGAGCTCATTCAATATATCTCACCAGCATCTACAAAACAGAACAAGGGTTTTTATAATATAGCCTTCTTTTCAAACTCTTCAGAAGAACTAAATCAAAAACTTGATTGTACAGGCGTGTAGATATTGATGTGATGCATGTAATGATAAGCTTTATTGTCAATAGAAATTTCTCAAAGTTTGAACCAGAACAAACCCATCTTGATTGAGATATGAGTTTTAGTATGATAATGTCATATTTCTGAAATACAGTCCAAACGAGGCGTTCCTTTAAAATGTGAATAACTGAACCAGGAAGCGTTCACTCGGGCTCAAATATTAAAGAATTTCTAGTAATTGTATGGTCTGTCTATGAAGAAAACATTAGCTTGAAATTTCACTTATTCAGGTTCTTAGTGATCCTTTGCTCGTAGATCAACCACTATCCAATGGCGATAGTCTCAAACAATAGAAGCAGTTTGATAGTTGGATATGTACTGGCGTGATATTTACTTGAGTTATACCATATTATCTTTTGGCAATTACAAGATAAATGATATCTGACAAATATGACACACTCATAATTAATAACTAATAGAGTAAAATGATTCAATATTTTACTGAAAAATAAATATAACAAATGAGCATATTTATATTTACATTAAGACAGAATATTGTTTTGGCATAAGATTTAATTTCATTAGGTTTAGCTAATTTACTAACAATTAATAAAACCATAAGATCTTCTAATGCTATCATATCATAACGAATAAGTAATAATTGAAAATCTGCATGAAATAAAATTTGATATTGTTGAAAATATTTCATTAATGGTTTTTCAGCAATTGAACCATTTTCTTTAATTAATAATGATATATTATATGTTATATGTCGTATAAGATCTAATGAACACCCACACCCACACCCTTGTTCAACTAATAAATGTAATTGATTTCGTGGTATTTTAGTTTGTATATAATTATGACGTAATGAACGTAAATTTGGTAATAATTCATTGTTTATATTTTTATCGATGATTAATAATTCTTGATTAGTTTCTATTAGAAATTTATGTTGTTTAACAAGACTATTATATGTTAAACGAGATGATATTTGTGTTGGTTTAGAAAATGATTGTATATTTTCATCTATTTTTAAAAGAGCATGATCAACTTTTCGTTGAACTTTTTCTTTTACTATTTTAGCATTTTTTATTTGATCACTTACTATATTTGTTTGAATAACTTGACGTCGACACATATTTTGATTAAGTGCTAATTCAAATTGTATATTAGTTTATTATTTACGATCAAGTATATTAATTAAAAATTGTTCTTGAATGACAGTTTTATATTCACTTGATTAATTTTTAAGTATATCTTTATTAAAATACTAAATTAAAATCAACGATATACATGTTTTTTTTTCAATTTATTTAATAGAAAATTATTTACATCTTGTAGAAAAAAATCTGTAGCTGATTGAATTATTTGTTCAATAGTAAGAAAACCATGACGTAGAATATGTTAATAAATAATATTAAATTTTTCATTTTCAGTATTTGTTTGATATTGATTAAGAATTTCTCTTGTATGAATTTCATCAATATAACCTTCTTTTTTGAATTAATTTAATCATCATATCGATAAGAAATATAGCTTGAGCTTCAGGTGCAGTTATATTAGCAAGAGATTGTGAAATAATTTTTGAACGACGTAATTCATTGACTATATCTCTGAATAGAATAATTTCTTCACTGTAATATTAATTGAAAAAGTTGAAGTCATTTTCTCAATGACAGTAGCTAACAAGACTCTAAAAATACATTTGTGTAACTAAAAGGATTCTCTATCAAAACTATGAAGTACAACGAGTTCAGTAAAAATATTTGGATAAAGGTCTGTGGAAAATCAAGACCTATCAAAACCAACTTTCTGGTTTTCATTCAAAGTTTTTAACAAAAAATTTAATCACTATATAAATCAACACCCCTTTCAGATCGTGTTTTATAAAATAAAAGAAAGTCAACTCACAATCGACATGGTATTGGATATGATTCAAGATATCTATTCAGATCATCAATTGTTAATAGTGCTTGTTGTTTACGTATGTTTAATAATAATTTAATAACTATCAATTCTTTTTCAATTAATAATTGAGCTTTATAAACAGCCAAAGGTTTAAATCCATTAAATAATTTTCTTAATTGTTCATTGATCATAGTTCGATGATTAAAATGAAGAATATAATCAAATATAGTTATTATAATTGTTTGTTCTATTTTATGTCGAAGAACAGAATCATGAGTATACATAGATATATTTCGAGTATAACAATCAAGTATGGATTGAAGTGTAAGACTAGTTTCTCGTAAATCTAATCTTGTCACTAAAACTAATAGACAATCTCAAATTAGTACTAATTTTCAAATCTACGTTTAAAAAATCAGAAATTTAGTATATTGAAAGTCTAGATTAGAGACCCCTGAAATTGATCCCGCAATCTGATATGGGTCCAAAAATTTTGAAATCGATATCCTCTCAAAGGCATAAGATTGCGGACAAGGAGAATTGTACGACAGGAGGAACAAAAGAAGAATCAATGTGATCGTGCTTGTAAAAAGACTAGTATTACTAAAATAACATTTTTCGTTTCTGATACTTCTCATAGGCTTCTCTTCGTTAAAAATCAACAGTTAGATGTTTACTAAAAACTAGTTATAATTTTAGGTTTACCTCTGCTAAGATTTACTCCTGCACTTTTACGATCAGCATCTTGTTTATTGATATTCAAAATTAAAGATTTCTTATTGGATTCTTCTTTTATACTTCATACACTCATATCAATTGATGATTTTGTTGATGATGAGATTGATCATTTGTATCTAATATTTGTTCATAAGCACAAATTTTAAGAACTTCTTCTGTTGATAAATAATAATCCGTATTGGATAATAAAATTTCATTGACGTTCTCAAAACGTTCTTTATTTGAAATAATTCTTATAATAATTGTTGTTAAAAATATAGAATATTTTTCAATAATTGGATCGAGAATATTGTAAATGATTAGGTAACACTAAGAAAACAAGAAAGAAATTTTTGTTTGTGTTATATAAGGGAAAGTTTTTCCTTCTACAACATGCTCTCAAATTTGATCAGACTGTAGAGAGTACCTCCCAGCGGTTTGACAGTTGAATGTAGTATAGTATGAAAAATGCAGACT